TATAGCAAGATCGAATGAATCAAGGCTATATAGATGCGAACTTTTGTCTTAATGGTAATTTCATAGCAACGATTCCATAAAGGTTTCGTCAACCGGAAGAACGTATTTCTAGCTTCCGTGATCCGAGTTGCAATATCATCTTTTGCCTGGCCATTTGGGATTAGAGTGGATCCAAGGTATTTAAAGTCCAGTACTTCCTCAACCGGCAATGAATTGGTAAAAATAAGTATTTTATCATTTTAACATTTTTTACATAAGACGAAAATGCTTTCGTTTTATTTACATTTTTTTTAAGAAAATTATTCCGAAGGATTCAACAAATTAATATTGGTAAAGTAAAATATTACTGATATTATTGATAAAGTAAAGTTTTAAATTCGTCTTTAATACAAGTGATAAAAATAAATTACAAAATACATCTCTCTGAAATTCCTCGACACATTGCTACGAGCGACATTCTCAGAAATCATAAGGCAATAACCTGTTTTTTCTACAAATAAATAAATGAAGAAAATCGGATTTTGTTAACTTAAATACCACATGTGCAAAAGGATATCCATTTTATAATTAGATTAATCGGTATTACTTTCTATGGCTTATTTACCATAACACTTTTTATTTATCCATATTGGTGAAAACGACTCATACTTCTTGATAGATAAATGTGGTCAAATCTGAATCGGTCAGTGCTGCTAGAAAAAGAACATCTATCTTTAAAATGATGGTTTTTTATCGAATTTTATTTATTCGATCTTTGAATTGAACCAAATGAATAGAATCCAGAAATCGTTTGCATAAATTTCTTGTTTGAATTTTTGATTTTGATGTAAAAGTATTCAAGTAGAAATATTCCACATTTAACCGATTTCCAAATTATGGAACAAAATCGCGCATTACTAAAAAGTGCAAAAATATCTGAATATCTTGAAATAATAATTATATAATTATTGAAAACTTAATTTTGTTTTTATGCACATGAGAATTTTTCCTAAAAATTTTTTGAAATATTTGCTAGTAAATAAGTGACTTATAAGTGAAAATACCTTTTAGTCTTCCTATTTAGAACAGTCTTTTGAGTTTGGAAATCTTCTTGCATCGAGAATTCATAAATTAATTTATCTCTTCTTAAGCTTCTCCTTATTCTCCTTATTCTATAACAGTACTCGTCGAATTGCATAATATGAGGAGGCTTTTTCATCAGAGAGTCACTTAGGGATAGAAATACAGATTGGTTCTCCAGCTCTACTCGTAATTCCACTTTCAAAAACAGACACGCCATATCTTTTGCATATGAATTAAATCAGCTTTGCTAGATTAACTCGCAAGATTATTGGTTCTTTTTGGTTGAAATTTTTTGCCGACTAAGCTAGGCAAAAAATTTTATAAATTGAATAGCTTGAAATTTTAGGCAAATTTTATCTAATTTATGCTATTTTTGGTTTTGCCTATTAATAAGATTTCTTCATTAAACGACTTTCATCAGCAAGAGGGAAGATCGTTATCTTCTGGATATAATAGTTATCCATGATTCTCTTATAAAGTAATAAATTGCACGTGGAAAAATAGATCAAGCGGATTTGTCATTTTAATTTCTCAATTAAAATTTCAATTTTTGGGGAAATCTTACTTTTCTTATTTTTTATATCGTAAAAAATTGTGTTCGATTCGATTTTATATGATAAGCACTGATTCATCATTATTTCTTTTGTTTTAAATGGCAAAATTTAGAGAATTTGTTTGTGCTAAAACAACCAGTGATGATCGCGAATTGCGTGCATTGATCATCTGATAAAGATGACGATGCACTGATTACAACTGATCATATTCCACGTCTATTTCTTGAATTTATAACCATTTTTATGCATATTTTTTAAAACGCCCGACAAATTTTTTACTTTATTATTTTCGTCTATACCAAGTTATTGGATTCTTTGCTGTTGCTAACTGGATGGTGTGGCTAAATTCCTTAGTTAAGCTCAACATAAAGCCGCATGTACGTATATTAATTCGACAGCAAAGGAAAAAATAAAGAATAAAGAAGAAGAAGAAATTCTCGACAAAATTCTGGATTTTTTCTGAAGAAAATACCTCTCACTATGACTGCCTATCGACAGCCGATGGAGGGAGCCCAATTAAAAATGGCGAGCCAAACCACTTTTACTTACTTTGAATTTAAAATATCCCAGATAAATAAAAATCGAGAACATTCCATTAAAAATTTTCGAGCAAGAAATACAATTAATGAAATAATTTAGTATTTACCTACGGTTAATAAAATTTTCAATGAAATGCGATGCTATGAGAATGTTCTCTTTCGATCTTTTTGGTGGATAATTAATTAAAAGTAAGTAAAAGTGGTTAGTGCAAACCTTTTTTGGTTAGGCTGGCGCCTTTGGCTGCTAACATGGTTAGAAATTTTTGCTGAGGAATCACTTGGCCATAGAAGTATAAGTGCGTCATCAACAAGGATTTATAAATTACGGGTTCACTTCAGTCAGAGAACCCAAAAAATGATGCCCGATACAAAGCCACTCAGTGAATTCCACCCCTAATTAATTATTTCTAAATTTTAAATTAATCCTGAAAAACTGTAGTAAAATATTCCATGGAGTCTTGCTTTTAAATCTGATCTAATTATTTTCAATTTTTTCAAGTAATTTTCAAGTAAAATTAATAAATTAATTTGATTTTATCATAGATAACTCCACGATTCCACGATTTTTCTTTTCTTTAAACAGCCTGCATTTGTTTCCTTCACTGAGTGGGCCTCTAGATTCGATGCTTTACCTTCTAACATTTTACACTACACACCATTGTTGGGTTGGCTTCGTTGGCTACAGTGATTAGAAATTTCGCGGTTCGGCTTATTGGTGGCTTAATGAAAAGTTGAATACCATGGGAAAGAATCTAGAATGACTCGGGTTCGAACCAACAAAGGAAAGTGGAGCAAGTCAATTCAGAGGGCCGAAGATGAGATTCAGTGGCTGGCAAAAAGAAATTTACTCACCAAAAATTATAGCATTTCTAACGCCAGGGGACTCCCTGGCAAAAATTTATTTTGAGAATCCAGGGGAGCAAGCCTAACCAATTAGAAAAAAATTGCATGTTAAAGATAGAACCTATATTTGCCAAAAAATTTTAAATGAATTTTTTGTAATTTTTTTGTAAAAAAAGTCCAATTTTTTACAAAAACATGAATCATGGAATGCAGCTAATAATATTCATAGAATCATTTAATGACGTTCCACAATTATTAAGCGAGAAAATCGATAAAATAGTTTGAGCTGATAAGGTATGATTATAACAATTGTCTAAAAAATATACCAATTTAATTAAATTCAAATTCAAAAGAATAAATCGGTTAAAAAGAGTCAGATGAAAGTGTCAATGATTTATTTTGTATCCCTCTGATAACAGCAAGTGCAAAAATGGGACCCAGGTGGTGCTGGAGACTTATCTACAATCTATTCCTTTTATGGGCGACGAAAAACGTGCTCATCTATAATCTCTGGCAAACGAGCCTGCCGAAGCTTCAGCCACATAAGTAAGCAAATGAGCTATTCAGCCACTCAATTTCATTCATGCAAACCCCATCCCATCGGCAAAAGATTTCCTTCATCGAAAGATCGCTAAATAAAAATTTCAGAATCTTTTATATTTTCTGAATCTATTGCTTTTTGATAATTAAAACAAAGAATAAAACATTTTATTAGGTTTTATTCTTTAGTTTATGATAAAATTTTCAACGATTTCACATCATCATCACTTCATTCTTATCATTCTTATCACCAACAATAATTTATTTCCGGGTGTCAATGCGGAGGCCACTGGTTTTTTTAAAATTAAGTCTGGATGAAAATTAAGTCTACATCGGTTTAAGGAGATGTGCGGAGGCTCCAAAAAGAAATCCAAAATCTTCAGAGAAACATTCGCAGGCTTTAAAAAACTCCCAGAAAGATTCAAAGACACTAAAATCATTAAAAATTAAATGGTAGAGATTCGGAAAACAGACTTTGTGAGAAAGAATGCTAACTTGACTCTCTGAAGTTAAACAAGTTTTCTTCTAACTTTTCTTCTAATAATAATTTTCAAGCATCCATTAAGACTTATTGAACCGAAAAAAAGACTCATACTATAGACATACGCAATTACTAACGACCCACAATCACCGCTAATTAACACTCATAAAGAACCAATCACCAACCACGCAATGATTCCTTTAACCTGTTAAAATGCGACCTCTGGGTGACCCTCTGATTTTGTTCGCTTCACAATTTTAGCAATTCAATGACTCAAGCCGAGTCTGTCAATTAGTAATTCATGTGCTATTTCGTCCATATACGGGTGGTGCTCGACATTTCAAAGACGAGAATGATGTCGAAGGTTAATTTTGATGGCAAAAGGGCTTAGTGATAAGGAGGACTTGTGATAATTTTTTTCAGGGCTCCCTGATAAGTTGAGTTCAAATGATAGAAAGGTAGACAAAAGATAAAAAAGATTTCTTTCAAATGTTGACGAAATGTTGATGTCGTCATTTTCTACTTTAAACGTAGGTGCCATCATACGATTGATTTACGATTTATGAAGTAATTATCCATCAGATTAATTTATTACACAGCGGGAGGAAATAAATAGGCAAAAGAAGGTTGTTGAAAGGGATGCGATTGGGGAAAAGGGAATGGGAATGGTGGAGAGGAGTATAGAGGGAGACGTGAACAACAGAATAAATTATTTGTTGTGGAAGAAGTGAGGCAGTGGGAGAGGGGGTTTAGCGGATAACCCGCTAAGTACCGCGGCCCATTTTTAATCGTATTGATAATTATATTCATTAAAAACTAATATAAATAAGTAAAAAGAAAATTATTTTAGTCTTTATTTAAAAATACATATAAAAATACTTGGTTTGAAGTCGTCGGTCCGTCGTTTTTTATCAGTGAATCAGTGAATGTGCTTTATGAAGATAATTGTAAAATTCTTGCAGAAGAAGAGGAAAAAAAAGAATGACAGATCGAGCTGCAAAGTCGGGATTAGCACTGGAAGCGCAGCGAAAAGTTCATGGCAAATACGATAGCGAATTGGCTGGACAGTTGCTGGATTGGATCGCATCGACAACAAATCTCGATTTTAATAAATGCGGTCATCTTGAGAATTTCTGTGAAGTCCTAAAAGATGGCCTAGTTTTGTGCAGGTTTAAATTGTATTTTCATTTTATTTTTATCAACGCAGTCGTCGTCCCTTCTGTTTTATATTCCAAGCACTCACTATTTTTGTTTTTCCAGGCTGCATTGACTATGGGGATTAGGGAATGGCTTGAAGGTAGAAATATAGAATTAATGCCCGTCGAAATGTAATAGATCGAACCTGAGTTCAGTCGAAGCAAACCTATCATTTGTTCTGCTTCCACTACTTACTAATACTGCATCTCGTAATTTATTCGTTTATCGGTTTAGGCTAAAGGGTTCTCAGGTCCTTCCGATAAAAAAAATTTGTCATTAAAAAACCCCAGTGATTCTCACTTTAGTATTTGTGAAAGTTTACCGTTAGAAGTTTCCTACTTGATTAACAGCAAGGAATGGAGCGAGTCTAATCAGAAATGGTGAGTGCGGATTACATTTACAAGACATTCCATTTAAATGGCAGACGAGTGATAATTTCGTGACGTTTGCAAGGAATATCTTAATATATTCAATTGGTTTTATAATGGACAAAAATAGATAAAAACAACTGATGAAGGTAATTTACCTTTACGATTCGAAAATAACATGAAGCATCAGAATTCTTTTCTGCTATTTTGTCGGGAATTCAATTATAATTATAACTGTCGATATTTGAAGGAAGTAATGTTTTTCACTTCAAAAAAATATAACTTTACTAAAGGGTAATATAACATGGGGCAGAGGATGTGCATTTTATTTTAGAATGTGCCTCGAAAATAATTGGTCTTGATTGGTCTTGATTGGCAATTTTTCCTTATTTCATGCTTATCAAGCAGTATATCCCGTGAAGCGCCATGATTTCCAGAATTATATAGTTTGCTTTCAGACATCACTTAATATAGGTTTGTGGACTGAATAATCTCATGATTTCATGGTGTTCGTAAACATTACGAAACTCACTGTGCTACGAAGTTAAAAATATGTATTAAGTAATTATATTAAGTAATTACTTGCAAGCCTTACGATGCGCGTAAAACATAATGAAATAAATATGGCTGTATAAAATTAAAATAAAATTGATTGATATAGCCCACAACAAAATTGGCCCACTCTATGTTCTCCTGAATTTATAAAAAAATTTTTTTTCTGATGCCTTAAATTCATAATAAATGTTTTAAATGGAGCTGAAAATATTGTAATTTTTGCGCTTTTAAATTTTTTGTTATTTCGATTTTAAATTAGCAATTTTCTAGCTTAGCAAATACACTGGAACCTGGTTCGGTCAAAAAAGTCAACACTAGCAAAATGGCATTTAAACAAATGGAGAATATTTCCTTTTTCTTAAATTTCGCTGAAAAATACGTCTCAAAAACGGAACTTTTTCAAACTGTTGACCTTTTCGAGAAGCAAGACCCAAATGCAGTTGTGATTTGTCTCTCGGCTTTGGCTAGAAAAGCTGAAAGACATTTTGGTAAGAAAGGACTTGGACCGAAGGTTTTTTTTAGCTTCATAAGTTTTTTCCGAGTTATTTAGTTAAGAAAGATGCTTGATCATAAGAAGTGTTGAAAGTGAAATTGTGAAATATGTTAGCAGATATTTATAAAGATTGATACAACCTTTTGAAACACCAGTGTACTTCAAATTGCGATCCTATAATTCTATCCTATAATTTTTAACTGTGCGATAGAATGGGTTAAGGGTGATGGCAGTTGAGAAGTTCCAGAGTTCCAGAACATAAATCGTTGAACATGCTAATGATACCTTTTTTGCTGACAATTACGAGCAACTGCAACGGACTTTAGACCTAATATTAGCAGAAATTGGCTTTCAAGCTAATGTAAATAAGTCGAAACTTTTTTTATCGTATATACCAGACGATGCTAAGATCGAAATTCAAATAAATTCATCAGCGATCGAAAGAATATCAAATTTAAATAAAGATCCACTCTGGTATCTAATGGACAAAATTCCAAAAAACTGCAAATGCATCCTTTCGTCTGGTAAAACTTTTCTGGAATCGCCGGTATATCGGCCTCAAAATAAAAGCATTTGTCTACATTTATCTAACTGTACATAAGCTACAGAGCTGCGAAACTTGATCAGTAAGATACCAAGAACCATTCGTTTTTGATCGCACTTAAGGTGCATCTTATATATTTTACGCTAGTTGTGCTATGTTTTTCGTCGGCCCTTGATATTTGCTAATGGATAGCATAAAAAGTATGTATGGCGTGGAGAGACGAGACCTGATTCGTCGCCAGAACGAGAACCAGACAAACCAGAAAAAGTGCAGGGTAGTGGAAAAAAGAAATTTGTAAAATATTTATAAAATTATGAGCTAGGAATTTCCATGAAAGATGAATGATATTTTATTAAGAAAACGTTTCAAAAGACTCCGATTAGGAAACGGCTTTAATCGATTCATTTAATTTTTATTAAAATACGGATTCTACTCGATCATGGGGATGGGATGGCTCAGTGGATTATTGGCTCAATTCGGAGCGCCAATACCCAGGTTTCATTTTCTGCAGGAGCAAACCTGTCCAAAAATCAGGGTGATGCTGGCGATTCACTTGTATTTCTATCGCCAGGGGACTTCCTGGCATATTTGTTCAGTGCGACAAGCCAGCGGAGCGAGTTTTACCAATAATGGTGAGGACTGTTTAAAAAAAAAAAAAACGGGTCGTACAAATAACTTGGTAACGACGGATTTATGATTAAATCGATGCACTTAATTATCAACTTAATCTTAAATAATCTTTTGTAGATTTATTTCCTTCAGGAAAAAAAAAATGAAATTTTTCTAGGAAGCTGAAGGCGAGAAGCGCAATTGGACTGAGGAGCAACTTCGCGCTAGTGATGGAGTAATTGGTCTGCAAATGGGTTCAAACAAGGGTGCTACTGCATCTGGTATAAATATGGGTAATACTCGACATATGTAAAATTCACTTAATAATTTTTCTTTTTATTTTCTCGAATATTTTTCTCTGGTTTGAACGAATTGATTACTAGGTAATTATTTCATGAATGATTTGAAGAAATAAGAGATACTTTTCCAGAGAAAAAATATGGAAGATCACAGAGTTTAAAGTTTTTAGCTGTCTTTGCTTTTAACTTTTCTTGATTTGATTTCGGTTGGTAAATCTCTTTATTTTTTCTAATATTTGTACTTTTAAAATTTTTATTCCTTAAATTTTTTTTTGCTTCTAAATTTCTATATAACTCTTATAAATTCTTTATATTTTTTCTACTTTTTCTTAAATGTTTTTTGTATCATTTCATTTATAAATTTCCATATAATTATTATCAGTTATTCGCAAGATTTTTTTTTCTAGTTTTTTTCTTTAGCGCATTTCATTTATTTCAGACTTTTGTGTTTTTAAATAAAAATATTTCGCTTATTTTTAACCTGTGATTATTTTATGAAATGGAAAAATGAAGATAGCTTTCCTGTTGAAAATTCCATTTTTTTCCCATTATATTTTCTAATATTTTTTTCTAAATTTTTGTTCAAATTATTCCTTTCTTCTTTTCTTTGATAGATCATTGTTTCATATTAAATGTGTAATAATATGAAAAAATGGTTATTGCAATAGTTCGCTTTTTAAAAAAATACATATATACATAAAATACATATACACCATTTGGCACTTGATTCTTAAAATGGAATATTCCATTTCGGCTATGAATTATTGATAAAATGAATGAAATTTTTCAGTTTATTTTCGTCGAATTTCATTTAATAAATATCGCCGATATAACGAGTTGGCAATTGATAATTTTTGCAGAGAAATTTTTTCTACTAAGGTTGAGATATCATAGGTTTGAATGACAAAAAAATAGGAACTGGTTACCAAATGTGGAGTTTAGGTTATTCAGAGGATATCTCACCATTCTTATTTAGGCCTATTTTGACGGCTCATCGGATCAGACAGATTTTGCCAGGCCATAGAAGTACAGACGAATCGCCAGCTGTTTTTGAAATATCTTTTCTTAGAGTAGAATCTTAATACTGGCACTCCAAAATGAAAGTAAGTTGTCACAAGTTGTCATTAAAGTATTGAATAAAAAAACGAAAGCAACACTGGAATAATTACTATCGTAATTTATTTAGTGATCAGATTTTTTTCTATTTTAATTTCAAATTTCCTTAACCAAGATAGAAAATTTCTGTCTGCTTTTACTGTTTTACTATGCGCGGTGAAGTTCAAAGTTCAACAATCCGGATTTTGATTCCTCACATTTTAAGATTAATCAGTTAGTCCACGTATAATTGAGCGCTTGACGTTTTCCATGTTTGCATTGTTGATAACGAACAACTGGTTTAAGGATGATAAATTTTGCGAAATAAAGTGATATTTCAACATTACATAAGTAGCTCGTTTAAATACTTTCCAATATCCAACTGAACCTGTTTTTTAATCATTTCCAGAGAAATAGTCCAGAGACATCTATATCACATAATACCAAAACCATGAAGCACATTTCCCATGCAAATCTTTGATTCCCGCAACTTGGATGGCCTGATTCCAAGATAATACTTTTAATGCGATGAGTACCATAAATTCAGTTTCTTATCTAGTGATAATGATATTTCATAGTCATATTTGTTACTTCCACTAAGATCAAATTTATTTCTCCCTATTCAAAAAGTTGCTCAGGATCGTTTCAAGATTATAAGTATTATATTTATTATTATAAGATTATAAATATTATATTTTCAATGATCTTTACCTACTTTAACATGAGCTGCTCATTAATGTTGTTAGAATGTCGATTGATCTCTTCGCTGTCAAAGTGAATTTCCAGTTAATACGATATTTTAAAATTTCCAGAATTTTCAAATTTACCTAATGCGAATTGGAACTTTCGTTTACTCTCTGAACTGATTTTATGAATCCTCTTGAATGCCACAAAAATAAAAAACGAATTTACAGAAGACATTTGTTGTCTCGAGTGGTTAAATCCTACATAAAATATTTATAAAATAAAAAGAATAAAACTGTGGCTGCCAGTAACTGATGAAAATACCACGCTGATGGCCAGCCCGATTCCTGGTTGCCGGTAGCCTTCATTTGCTTGGAGTGCCATCATTTGCTTCCGATATAATACGACTTGCAAAATAATATGAAATGTGAAATGTGAAGTGTTTTTAACGCGTATTGGTTATTAGAAAATAAAAGAATTTCTAATATTTGCGAATTTCATCATATGGTGAATGTGTAAGACGAATAACACATAAGAGATTGGCTTAAGGTTCGATAATATTTAATTATTATTTATTCACAAGTTCTCGATTAATAGAACAAAATAACTGATGTTTTCCGTGCTTGCCTCGTTGATTTAACGAACGAACAACTGGCTTAGGCTTAAGGATGACAAATTTTGCAAAATAAGTGACGCTTCAACATTGTCCCAGTAGCTTGCCACCACTACTTTCCAATACCCATATTGTAGTTAATTAGAACTGGAAAAGAAACAAATTTACTTGGAAATCTGAGTAATACGCTGACAGATAAATAAAAAAAGAATGGACGGCGGATTTGGATCGATGCGAATCGATCGATTTGACTGATGAAGAAGCCACTGATAAAAAATCGAGCTCTGAGTGTTTTCGCTCCCACAGTTTATAGGAAATTTGAAGGGATGCGTGTTAATTATGGATTAGAACAGAAGAACAGATCTAATACAAATACAGAATTAGATGATAATTCTTCTTCTTCTTGTAACAGCTCTCACTGTCGGAAAGGAAAGAAATAAAATAAAATAATAGTAATACGGTAAAATTCACAAAGCTTTTTAAAATTCAAAGAAGGAAAAACAAGATTTCAAAAAAGTTTTCCACCTCCCTAAGCAGTCAACAATATGCAAATCACAAAATTGTTTTTTTTTCTTTCTTTATTCGCATTTGTTAGTGCTTTGTAAAGCCATCTTATTTGCATATCAAAAAAAGAAAACAGTGAAAAAATTTTCTTTTGAATAAAAATAAATTAATTTTTATATAATTTTTGATCTACCAATGTTTTGAAGGAACCACCCATATTGGCAAAGGAGAACCGGTCAGTGTTGGATTGGCAATATCAAGAATCGCCTTCGCCTTGCTTCATTACCCTTTTTTTATTAAATAATATTAGCTTTTACTTCGAGCCTATTAAATACCCATTTTTCATTTATTATAGTAAACCGTATTTATTTTGAATAAATATTTCAATTCACGGTCGCAACAATACATTCCTTTTCCGATACCCACCATTATTTGAACTGGCTCCAACGGCTACAAAAGTAAGTAACGGCCACTTCCAAGAGGCGCGGTCTGATGATATCGTCGACAGTAATGGAAGCCATTCTTTTTTCCATCGTCTAAGTCCATATATTTCTGGTCCAACTATACGTTCTTTCCTGACTGTACTAGTCCAAGTCTTGACTGGCCCTCCTCGCTTTTGACCATCACAGGGTTTAGCAAATAACGAAATATGTGTTAACTCCTGTGGTGGATGACGGAGAACGTGCCCTAATCATCGAAGGCGACGTTCTGTGATAATATTATTGACGCAAGTGATATTTGAACGGAGATAGATGCGATCACGTGATATTTTATCTGCTCAACGGCCCGTAAAATATACCTTAGACAAACATGGTCAAAGGTAGATAGCTTCTTAATATCCTCCACTCTCATTGGCCATATAGCAAGATCGAACGAATCACGGCTATATAGATGCGGACTTTTTTTTTAATGGTAATATCAGGACGACTCTATAAAGGTTTCGTCAGCCGGAAGAAAGCATTTCTAACTGCCGTGATCCGGGCTATAATATAGTCTTTTGACTGGCCATTTGATATTAGAATGGACCCAAGGTATTTAAAATCGGCATTTCCTCGACCAGCAATGAATTTACAAAAAGAGACATTTTATTAGCTTCTTGCACAAAAGATGAAAAGACTTTCGTTTTGTGTATATTGACCCTGAGTCCGATTGTTGCTGCAGTTTCTGACACGTTATTTAGCATTACTTGCATTTCGTCATAACTGTCAGCAAAAAGGACTACATTATCATATTCAAGATATCCAAGACCTGTGATACGATGTTCTGGACTCTGCTCTGATTTGGACAACAATTTTGGACAACCCTTGAGTACCGACAAGCGGTGTCCATTTCTCAGTCTATTACATAGCTAAATATTGTATGAAAAAAGACACAACCTTTACGCATACCAGTTCTTATTTAGAAGGAGTCTCCCCATATACATAGACCCTCACCAATGTACGCTAAAATGCCTTTGTGAATCGAATGATTTCCTCTGGAATACCGTCGCGTTCCATTACCCTCCAAAACGCCGCTCTATCAATCGAATCAAAGGCAGCCGCAAAACCGATGAAACATGCGACAGTGGGTTGCGAAAATCTTAAGGCTTATCCTGTTGTCCCGTATTTCCATAAGTCTAAGTAGCAGGGAAGTAAAAATTTTCGCTGAGACGTCCATTAGGCTGATTCCTCGACAATTTTATAGTATGGCCTATCATCTTTCTTGAGAATTGGGAGCAGATTGCTTTACTCCATTCATCTGGTAATATTTCTTTTTTCCATACTAAAGAGTACATTTGTTGAAGGTGCTTGTTGAAGTTGAAGGACGATGGACAACATTTGAAGAGCTCAAACGTATAAGCTAAATCAGAGGCAACAGATGGCGCTTAATGGTTTGGCCTTAAAGAATTCTTTCCATCCTATAAGACGGTCCTTAATACTATTAACTGGCACGCCATTGCTGTCTCTTACCATTTCACTGATCGTTCCTCGAGTCATAGTTTCCTATTATCGCCTAATCGAGCCGCCGTCTTCATTCTTGAGACCATGTCACTCCTAAATGATTTCTGTCCCGCCGTGCTGCTTTCGTTGCAAATCTTTGAAGCATCCGGTAGTCAGGATCACCTGTGCTTTGGCAGCTTTTTCAGACAATTGGGCAGTTGCTTCCGATACCCAACTAGTGCACTTCCTACTAGTATGCTCTAGCGTGGAAGTGGCTGATTTTCGGAGACATTCCTTTAATTTGCACCAGTATTCATTTGCCGTTCCAGAAAAATCGTTGATATTTGTATCATTGGGATGCTTCAATAATTCGGTTTGAAATGCGCTGTCCTCGAATTTTTTAGTTTGAGATAGTTGAAGAATCTTTGGCGATGCTGTTTCTTGCGAGCTGACAATTTTATGCGGATCTTGGCTCGAACCATAACATGGTTAGATCCATGAAGATCGCCCGTTTTAGCGGTAGGAACGACTATCTAGTACGGAACTCTTCCAACGGCAACTGACTACGATATAATCAATCTGGTTGAAGTGTTGGTGATCCGCGGAGTCCTGACTAGATGTTTTCTACGATTCTGAAAGCAAGTATTAATAATAAAAAGTTCATGCTCTTCGACATAACGAAGAAGGGGTTCCCCATTGGCGCACCGGTCTTCGATGCCATATTTGCCAATTGTAAAGAGCATTGCAGCGGCATTATGACTTACGTGTGCATTCCAGTCTCCCCCAACTATGACCATGTCATGTTTCGGTAGACTTTGTTAGCAGTTGAAGTTCTGCATAGAATTTATCTTTAAAACGGGGATGAACCATATGGTCGTTTACCGGTTTCCACTCAATCAAAGCGAAATGGGCCTTATCAGACATGACAATCGAGCCATTTCGTCCCGAGTTATCTGACGCACCACAGTGATATAGGCAGTATCTCTGCTCCGAATCAGGATTAGTAAATTAGTAATTACTCGAGACCCGAAATGAGGAAGACGGAGCTCCGACAAGCAAGCGAAGACGATATTTAGAAAAGGTGTGGACAACGAACGCTTGACTTGCAATATCCATAAGCGTTTTCTGACATTCCACGTTGATATGGCTAAAACCTCGCAGTTCCTTGAGCAACAACCCACTGAGCCATCCTATCCCTCCACCTGCATTATCACTATATCACTAACGTCGTTAGCTCGACCATATTATTCGCCGCCCACCACAGAAATTTACGGACACCTCTCTACTTACTAGGTTCTCTAATGGGTGGCATCAAAGATGTCATAGAGGGCCAATGAAGATCGATGAGTCGATAAAGATAAGGAAAATTTCAAATGCATGGGCGGCCCAGCAATATAATTCTGGATTAGGCGGTGAAAAAAAGAGTTCAACCATTTTCATCGGGTCCGCATGGAAAAGTCTAACCTTAGTCACCAGTGGAACGAATTGAACCAACAATTATGACCTTTTTTTTCTTTTTAAGAGTCACCATTCTGGTTAAACTCGCTCCACTCGCTTGTCGCATTGGGCAATATGCCAGGGAGTCCCTTGGCGATAGAAATGAGTCGCCAGCATTATATTACTGGATTTTTGTACAGGTTCAATCAAGCAAGGAATCGAACCTCAGCATCGGATCGGCGCTCCCAATTGAGCAACAACCCACTGAGCAATTATGAGCTAATGGAACGAAACGTCAATTTTATCATTAATCCGTTTTGCTTATCGATAATCAACTGTAAGCCAAACAGACAAATCATTTATATTTATTTGGCATAGCACTATTATATTACAAATATACTTACAAATTAACAAGAAAATACCAAAAAAAATGTGCCAACGCTTGGGCCACAAATTCTCAGCTGCGGCTGCGATTAATCAACAAAAACTGCTTTCGGATGCGACGTCGCAACAAATTTATAGCGTACATTGATGCGTTGCGATGTGCCTGGGTTGGTGAAAAATAGTATTAGGTGTAGGAAGAGAGTTGCATTTGGTCTAGTTTTTGGCCGGAAATCGATTATTATTGGTCTGAGGACCGTTGCTGGCCTGGATTTGACCTTTGACATCACTTCCCAGCTTTGCAGTTGTTTTTTGTTTTGTGCTGTCGATTAATTCATTTTCATTTTTTTTCTGGCGAAAATTTTTATTTTTATTTTGTTTTTTTATTTATTTCTATATAATTTATTTCTAGTTCTAATTAATTCTCTAATTTTATTTATTTTTGTTTGTAAATCAAGTGAATTCTCTACCGATTCAACGAGTTTTTATCGTAAATTTTCTTTTGGTTTTATTGTATATTTTATCTTTCATTAAAATTAAAATTTGTTATTACCGTATTGTTTATTAAGAAATTTAAATTGTTTGCAATATTTCTTATTAGCCAACTAAGAAATTCATGAAAATCTTCCTAGCGATTAACATAGAAAAACATCGCAGAAAAGGATTTTAAAATTTCGAAATCTATCCAGAATTTGCTCGTTTTTTTAGTATATTTTAGATATTTATGAAATTTCTACTCCGAAACCTATTTCTAAAATAGAATTATTTTGCTACGGAAAATTCTAAAGAGTTCTAATTTTTTTAAATGAATTTATTGGTTAAAAAAATTATTATTTCTATTTGTAAATTCTTAATTGAAAATAAAGAATTCGGAAAAAAGTTTTTTACAAAAGAATTTTACAGAAAAAAAATCGAATCGTGCTTCAGCGCTAATTTATTTATGCAAAGGCAAGTTTGGATTATTTTTTATGCGATATTGTCAATGAACGGTTGTGTTTTTTATTTTATAATGATTTATTATTTTCATCATTATTATTTTCTTTATTATCATTGTAAATTATCAAATATACTTTTTGAAATTCAGCATTATTTTTTGTTGTTTTTTAATTTCCAGTAATTATTTCTAATAATTTTTTTTATTTTTTAATCGCAAGTATCCATCTAATTCATTCGTAATATATTCGTAATATATATATTTACTCTGTGTCAGTTTAAATTATGTTCATATTTTTGCTTAAATTCGATTTAAGATAGTCAAATAAAAATTTATGAAACTTGGATATTTATTTACTTTTTTTCAGATCAAAAAATGGAGGACTATCTTTATTTCTTTTTTGAAAAAGTTTTTGATAAAAATATTAATATTATTATTCAATATTAATTTATTCAAATTTGAAGGATATTAAATAGTATATTTGGAATTATAGTTTATATAATTATGCATTTAAATTACTTTTATTATGCATTAGAATGGCATATATTTAAGGAAAAAAGTATTATACGTATATGCATAAAGCATAAAGTGGTTTATATTTAAGCATAAAATAGTTTATATTCTTTTTAAGTGCAAAATGGTATGTTTATAAATTTATTTAAGCGGAACAAAATCGAATCGTCGCCTTTGTATCGTTCCGATTAATTTTATTTTAATCATGGATTCAGAAAGTTTAAGTCTGTGGCAGTCGAAGGATGACATTTCATAACCACATCGGTTATTTTATCGTTACAGTTGGCGATGAAAGCATTCTACTCCGACCGCTAAAATGCGCACTTTTGGCATTACCAGTTTTGTTGCGGCGCTAATATTTGTAATTTTCTCAACTTATCTGGCATAATTTTATGCTATTTTAGATGTTTTTCTTTTTTTTTAGAAATGCCTTTTTCTCCTAAGAATTCTTAATTTTTAGAAAGGAATATTTCTATTTTTTTTGCGGAAAAAATTATTTAATATCTTTGTCTTTAAATCGTAATTTTTACGATAATTTCATGAGAATTCTTCATTTTCTAACCGAGTATTTCAGTTTATGAAAAGTGAAGTGTAGCAAAAAAATAAATTGAAAAAAATTATGGTTTTCACTTATAATTATAATTATGGTTTACATAAGTCACCTCTTATTATCTTTATCATATTATTTCATTATTTCATTCTATGAAAAATCAGATATCTCAACGATTCTTTTATTCGTTTCGATAGTTTTGGAAGAAATTCTCATAATAATTTTATAGGCTTGCTTAAATGGCGGGTCGCCAAAACTCCTTTTTTGTGGAATATCGGCTGAGCGTTATATGTTTCAATATGGATTCAGTGTCGTAAAACCCGTGTCAGCGAAAGGTTGAAAATGTGATCTTAAATTAGAAAAAATTCATGTTAGTCCCATGAAATACTACAAGTTTAAGTCGTCTTCACAGCGCAATTTGGGAAATCTCCTCTCCTACATATCTCCTAACTCTAAGGCCATTTCTGGTTGATATAGGCACTTTAGAAATTTCTAAAAATTTTTTTTCACGTAAAGAATGAAATGAGATTGATTGAAATTTTGTTGTCAGGTTTTACAAGTGTTTCAATTCTTATGGTTTATTTTACGCGGTTAATTCTGAATTAATTCTGAACTTTTTCAATAAAGTTATTTTTAAAATAGTATATATCCTTCCTTGCAATCGTTTCATCTTAAGCTTTTTTTGAGATTTGAAAAAACGCAATTAGATGATTTTTTCGCGATGAAAATTCTGTTCTGCTAATTCAAGAGTATATGAAACTAATTTTTCATCCCATCAGCTTTTCTTTGGAGGGTTTTATTGAACCCCTTTGAATGACAGGTATTTTACTTAAATAAACGGTGAGATAATCTACCATTATCAGTTTTGTATTTTATCATTTTGGAGGAACAATTTGTTTGAATAATGTGAAAAGCTCACTTTATCGAGATTTTTCACATTATCAAGCTTTCAATTTATGTAAACCTTGTCCAGTTAATAGTGACTTGACTTTTTAAATGTCTTTAGAATTGATCTCCTTTTTTATAGATGCGTTAAATGTACGAATGCTACTCGAAAGTTATTTTAAAAATAACGTTGATTAACTTTTTTTTTTAATCAGATAAAAATGAAGAAAGAGCACAAGGTTTCTGCCCATTTAACCGTCACTGAACAAAATAATGAAGAGTTGTCTGGCGAAGGTGGTGAATATGTGAAAAAAAAAAGGGAGTACAAAAATTCTAGTTCCTCGGATAATGGAAAATCAAGGGATAAATCAAGAAAAAGAAAACATTCAGACAATGATCGAAAGGATCGTAAGAAAAGGAAAAAGAAAGAAAAAAAAGTGAATTTTTAGCCTTTGAGTGGAACAAGAATTTGAAAATTTGATTGTGGTTGCAAGATTTTAAATGAAATATTTCAGATGAAAAGACATCGAAAAAACAGAAAGTATAAGAAAGGGTCTAGTGATCTGAGCGATGAAGAATTGGAGAATTTGGAGAAAAAGAAGGTGGACATCGAAAAAAAACTTAACGAGTCAACTGTCGAAAATAAACACAAATCGTCAACTCTGGGTTAATATTTATTAAAGTTAATAAAGTTTAATATTTTTCGATGATGCTTTTCCTTTATAAAAGGAATATTTTATAAATGCAAATTTGTTATACAGAGGGTTTTTTTATTGTATAAATTAAAATATACATAAATGCAAATTAACTCCGATAAAAATTATTTTCTCAAAACTTTTTTCTGATTTTAAGAAACTAATCTAAGATGACTGTTTTGATTTCTTTAAAATCAATTTTTTAAATATCATTTTAAATATCATTTTCAGGAAATAGTGAGCAAAAAAATGTAAATGAAAGCAAAGGAATTTCATGTGGCGAGGAAATATTCAGCAAAAGGGCCACAATTGAAGAAAGAATTATTGAAAATGAGAAGAATGGAAGATTAAATATGTCCATCGATACATTTGTCGATAAAGATTTAACTATAAAAGTAGTTGGAAAAATTGGTGAAACTTCACTGAATCGCGATAGTGAAGAATCTACAAATGATCATAAAGATGAGAAAGACGAGAAAGTATTATCGATAAAATTAAAATCCCGAAAACGATACGATATTAAAGAAGATAACAAATTGGATTATGAATCTTCAGATGATGGTGAGCTCAGGAAAAATATGCACGAGCGTAAAAAAAGGCCAGGCATTGATACTATTATTGACAAGGAAGAGAAGGGAAAGGAGAAAATGCTTGGTGATAATATCAAAAGGAAATTGGATACCGAAGAAATTCCAAGGAATGAAAGTGGAAAAAAAAAAAGATTTAGTGAAAGTGATAATGAAAATATAGGGAAGAAGACCAAATTAAGAGGTGAACGAAATCAAAAAGGTCACGAAGTTGCTCGGCATGAAAATGATGAAAGACGGAGACGTCATACTAAATCTCCTGAAAGCAAGCGTCATCGGTCTCCTGTTTCATCTCGTTATCGTGATTCTTCTCGAAATCGGCGACGTGATAATTCAAGTGAACGTCGATATGATAATTCCCATGAACGTCGCCGAGGCGATTCACGTGAACGCGGTCGTAAGGAAATTTATGAGGAACGCCGGCATGACCAGTCAAAAGAACGAAGGATTCGCAGATCTCGCTCACCTCTCAAAAAACGAATAGATATTCAGATTCGGTCTCACAGATCTCGTTCTGTGGAGCGTCGTAGAGATTATCGTTCATCATCTCGCGATCGTGCCAGGCGGCGAACTACAAACAACAATATATTTCGCGGACGTCGCCGTTCAGGTTCGAGAGATCATAAAAGAATTCCATCTCGTGATAAGAAACAAAATCGAGGATCATCGCGAGATGAAAAACGCAGCGGTAGACCACGACGCCACTCTTCAAAATCACGAGTTAAACAAGATGACGCTGGAAAATCCGATCAAAGCATATCTCAGAAGTACTTTTTGATTTTTTAAATTGCCATCTTTTTTAAAATTTTTTATTATACATTCCCAAAAATTTCTTTTATTTTAATGATCAAATAATTATTGTTTTGTAAGAAAAATGAATTTAGCTCATTCACTTGTTTATAATTTTTTCTTTTAGCTCCGAATTTTCCTGTTTTTCAGTGATCTAAATTTAGGAAGGAAATAGTGAGGCGACATGTTCATAGTAATAGTATGAGCTCTGTTGAGTTCAATGATTCTGATGAAGAGGAGCAGAAAAAAATTGAAGAACTAAGGCGAAGAAGGCGGCAGCTTCTCATGGAAATGGAGAAGCAGAATGGGAATGATAATAGGTATGGTCCATTTGTCGAATTTTATTTTATTTGAAAGATTATCAAGAAAGGCCTAAGGTGAACAGGCATAAAATTAAACAAAAAAAATTTTTTTCTTTTTTCATTTTGTTTTTGAGTAATTAATTCAGATTTGCGAAAAAACCACTTCGTAAATTATCATCTGAGAAATATAATAAGATTTTTGTGTCGCAAGAAAAGTTTTTTCATCCCAGATTTTATTTCTCAACGATGTTAAAATATTTTAAATATAAAAATGTAATTACACACGTAAATATAAAGTATATTTGTTATAAAGTGTTTTTTGAGAACATATATGATACACCTTAAAAAAAGTAGTATTTAAAAAAGATTTATTCTTTATTATATTTCTCAGTAATTATACGAAATGCTGAAGAATATTAGCAATTGATTAATTTTTATTTATTAATTTTGCATTTTAACTTTTAATGCAAAAAAAATCCAGTTTTTTTTACATTAAGTACTGCAAACAGCAATGAAATTTTGAAAGAAGCGAAAACCGAGAAACGCACTCAACAAGATAATAAGCAAGAGGAAAATGATAGTTACGAAGAAGCTCAAAGAGTTTGCTTTGAAACTAGTCCGAGTACTGAATGCAGCGAACAAAACGCAAAATTTGACTGTGAAAATAGTAAAGGACGCGAGGAAAGTGTGGTTACTCAAGATTTTGAAAATAGCGATAACGATATTTCAAACAGTGAAAGTCCGACGAAAGGAAACATCGTATTAAAAGAAGCTGAACGCGAATTGGAGAAGGGTTATGACAGTGATATTTCCAATTCTAGTACTCCTATATTAAATTCTGATAATGATACTCCAGGTGATTTCTTCGACGAACTCAAAGAAAAAATGGTCCACATAAAGGTTCGTTTTTTCATCCTTTCTTTTTATGTTCATCTTGAGTGATAATATTTTTATGAATGGTAATATTTACATGATATTTTTTATACGACTTTTACAGGGCCAGGAGGAATCTGAAGTTGATCGAGCTCTCAAAAAAGCGGTAGAAGAAGAGGCTGAAGAACAAAGAAGACAATGTGGGGAGGATGTTGGAAAGATTCATAGAGACAGCGGTGATAATGTTACTTTTGATATGTTCGCTACTGATTCGGAGCTGCCGACAGAGGTTTTTCTTTGTGTATTTGAATTTCTTGCGCACATATTTTATTTCAAGATATTTTATTTTGAATTGCTGTAGATAATCACATTTCATTTCTTTTCGTTAAGAAAGTTTTGATAACTGATTATAATTTTATAATTTCATAAATTTTTTTTGAGATACTGGCATCACTTATGGTTTTTACAGTTTTCATCATACATAGTTTTCAAATACAGAACGTAAAAAACAGATTTTTATCAGGCCTTCAATTATTTTTATAATTTTTAGAGATACTGGTTTTATCTCGGCGCTGCTGTCATAAAATCTATATATTATAAACATACTGGTTTTCTTTTTAGGTCTTGAAGAAGGCAGCTATAATCGTTTCGGGCCAAGATGCTGCAAATGCTTCTCTTAAGGATAATTGGGATGATACAGATGGTTATTACCGTAAGTTTTTTTCAGTTTTATTTCTGATATGATATATTTCGATGTAATCCGAGTGATATCGGCGAATACCTGTGCTTCTTTCGCTAAAGGACTGTGGTGCCCTTCTTTCTCTTCTTTTTCTAACTCGACAAACCTACAGAACCAGTCTAACCAGTAATGATGCTTTTAAAATATATATATAATCGATGGTGGTAATTATAGGTGTGCGCATTGGTGAAATGCTTGATCGTCGGTATCGTGTATATGGATTCACTGGTGCAGGCGTTTTTGGAAATGTCGTAAGAGCTACAGATGCAGCAAGAAGCAATATACCTGTTGCTGTCAAGATAATTCGTAACAATGAAGTGATGTAAGTGGTTTTTGCTGGAAAAAATAAACATTCTTTTGCTTTATTTTTATCTTATTTTTTAAAATCAAAATTGATAAAGTTTATATTTTGCAAAATTATAATCTTTTAATAATCAGTTATTTATTGAAGTATAATTTAATTAAGGAGAAAAACTGGAATGAAAGAATTGGATATACTGCGTAAACTCAATGAAGCTGATAGAGATGATCGTTATCATTGCCTTCAGCTTTTTGGTCATTTCTACCACAGTCATCATCTTTGTCTTGTTTTCGAATCACTAAGGTGAAATTATTAAATTTTTACGATTTGATGCTGATTTTATACTGTTTTCAGCCTTTATTTCAATTTTATTTCCTGTTTTATTTTGCAGCATGAATCTTCGTGAACTGCTTAAAAAATATGGAAATAATGTGGGACTTCATATGAAAGCTGTAAGAAGCTATACGCAACAGCTTCTTCTTGCTCTTAGGCTGCTTAAAAAGTGCAATATTCTTCACGCTGATATCAAACCAGATAATATACTGGTGACTTCTTTAATTTTTTTTAAGTGAAATCCTTCAGTGTTATCTGAAGAAAAACAATAAAGAAAATGGATCAAGACTTTTTAGGTTAACGAATCAAAAATGACATTAAAATTGTGCGACTTTGGTTCGGCATGTCATGTAGCAGATGTTGAATTAGCTCCTTATCTCGTATCTCGCTTTTATCGTGCACCCGAAATCAGTATGTCATTTTTTCATTTATTTGTTTGAAATTCTTTCATAACAACAATTTGAATGTTTAAATTTTGGATACTTTTTTTAATGGCTTTACGTTTTTCCATTTTTTTTCGGTACCTTTTTGCTCAAAAAATAAATGATTTAAATTGCAGTGCTTGGATTGCCTTATGACTTCAGTATAGATCTTTGGTCGGTAGCCGTCACGCTTTATGAGGTTTATACTGGTAAAATAATGTTTCCTGGTAAGTCCAACAATCAGATGTTGAAATTCATGATGGACTTGAAAGGGAAATTTCCCAATAAAGTAATTCGTAAGGCTCAGTTAAAAGACCAGCATTTCGATCTCAATTGCAATTTTTTATATCACGAGGTGGATAAAGTTACACGCAGAGACAAGGTCAGTTTCCACTTTTTTTGATTATGATTTAGAATTTCCAAAATTTCATGTTTGGCAGTCAAATATTTGGTAGTTTTGCTTTTAATTGTATTATTGTTCTAATTTTTTCATTCTTAATGATCAATTTTAGGTAACCACTTTATCAGTCGTTAAAGTTACGAGAGATTTGGAAATCGAATTACTGGGAGAGCAAGAGCTGGACAAGGTTATTTTTATATTTATGTGACCATTTTTACAAATACTTACTTTTTACTGTTTGAAAAAATCCATCTTAGCCTCTTCAAGATATTTTTCATCTGGTTTCAGCAGGGAATGAAAAAATTAGAACAATTTCGTTCATTGCTTGATGCGATGGTGACTTTGGATAGCTCAAAACGGATCACATGTGGTGAAGCATTAAAACATCCCTTTGTTATTGAGAAATGATATTTTTGTATTTGTTGAAGATATAAGAGAGGTCAGATTTTGTAAAAAAAAATTGGTTAGCGCCGATCTCTGTAATATTTGCCTATTTCATATTTTACCATTCCTTTTTTATTTTTGGAGTTTGGAGCAACTTTTTATAAATTATTTCAAGAATTTTATTTGGGAATCTTAAAAAATATAATTGGTTCTGCCCATCGCTAGAAATTTATTTTGGGTGTAAATTAATGGTTTGTTACCTCAGCAGTATTTTTTATTAACTTTTTTAAATTTATGTATGCAAATTTTAATTGTGTGTGTAAATATCAATTGTTCATATTCATATTAATTTCTTTAAACTCTTGTTCTCATATAAAGAATTTCATTTTTCAAATAATTAATCTGGATTGATTCTACATTTCTTAGAGATAAGACAATTCATGTCATTTGGACTACATCTGGGGCTATACAAGAACCACAGATTTTTAGAACTTAAAAAAAATTTAAGTCAAATAACAATTAACAATCCATATGCGCAATTGATTTATCTTCTTCTTTGGTGGTCTCAATGTTATAGAAACGTTGTCCGCAATAACCACAAGCATGCGTACCAGGTTTATCCTTCAAATAATTTTTGTATAGAAAAATTTCACCAATTGATTGATTGTCTTCTTTTCCTCTACGACTTGAATTATAGGTAGTCTCTAAAACTGAAACCTATAAAATAACAGGAAAAAAAGAAAAGCAAACTAACTAAATTAATATAAACTCGAGGATGCCCTAGAGCCGGATGTCCTCCATCACAAAAAACCACGCGTTCTTTTGAAGGGACTGGTGGTAATTCTGCGATAAGGTTTTGTGCAATATTTGGATTGACTTGTTTTGGAGAGAAGTCAAAACGTTGTAAACGATAGTCAGCCTGATCCCACGCCTCCAAAATGTATTCTTTATGGTTATAAATTATTATTTAAAAATTAAGCCTAAATTCAAGCGATTTAAGACTGCGGTCCGTGAAAATTCACGAACTAAAAAAAATATAGAACTCGTAGAAAAAAAATATGTGAAAAATTATTTGCAACATATTTTCTACTTTCAAAAAATCGACATTTATATGGGTAATAAGATGGGAAACAAAGAAGCTTGACAATATCCTCCTAATATTTAAGCCTAATACACCACGAAATATTAACTTTATAAAATCGTTATTCAGATTCAGTGGTCCATATGACTTAACAGCTGATAAAAAAAAAATCTTGAAGGCATACGGGGAGCAGCGATATATGGACTTAAACGGTGGAAAAAGCAATAGCTTCTATTACTGTCGACGACGGCGTCGGGTCGAACAGCTTGGAGATTTTTACCCTCGTAGCCAGCGAAACCAGTGTAAATGGTAATGGTGAAAGAAGAGTAATGGACGTTAGAAGAAGCGGTGCACGAATCCTTTACGAATGTTGAAATATATAATGCGATTTAAGAATGAATGAAAATTAATTACTACATTTTATTTGAAAGTAAGCAAATAACGATTTTCATTCATAATAAAACCTATTATTTACTAATTTATTTACTAATGTGCACAAGATTTTCTATTGCTTTTTTACGCAGTTTTCCGTCAAATATTCCACAATGTTACTCATGTAATTCTGAGAGGAGTCCGTGGCTTCTCGCAGAGCCTCAAATGAATCGGGAGATTTCACCGGAGAAAGTGTTAATAACAACTGATATGATTGCATAACCGTGATCTGCTCCACTCCACAGCACACCGTGCTCAGAAAACATAGAGAAACCAATTCTCCTTCCTTCTTCACTTTCAACTAGTAAGTCTAACGAAAAGAAAACTTCTTAAACCTGTCCCGTGTGAGTGACTTTGTCGTAAATGGCGCTTTTCTCAGAAATGTCCTTCGGCGAAGCCAAATCACTCTTCCAGCGAGTATTTAAGGAAATAATTCGGAACAATCGATTATACGATGAGCGATGCATACTAAAAATTTCGAATTCGATAAAATCGCAGCAAAGATTTACAAAAATAAATTATTTTAAGCAAAGAAGAATGTTTACAAACATTTTATCGCTTCGATTTCCTCTTCGAACGGAATAAACTTTTCGTTAAAAGTGAAACTTACGTGTTGTTGAGCCCGAAAATCGAATACTTTTCCCCACAAATACCCAAAAGCCTCCCAAGTCGCTAAAATATTCGTAAAATATGAAAATCCAGTAAACTTCGCTTTATCAGTTTAACGAGATGTTCAAACGGTTAATGAGCGATGAGCGCGGCCGCGGTCACAGAATCACATTGCACGGCCTATGCGTTCAGTTGGTTTGAAACGATTCTTCTTCTAAGCAGTTCTCACCATTTCTGGTTAGGCTGGGTCTGCTTGCTAAAGAGTAAGCGGCTTCTAAGCTGTTCAAACACAGTTGCTAACGGCGGTGCCACTCCTTTCTTCCTTCATTTAGGCCCATGAATCGCTGGTCTACCTATATGGTCAAAATCTTTCTATATGGCTCAGGTCAATCCAGGTTTTGATTGGGCCTCCTTGCTTGATGCTATCTATCCATCACATGGTTAAGCTAATAACGAAGTATATGTCAACTTCTGTGGTGGATGACGAGGAAGTGCCCTAACGAGCGAAGACGACGTTCTGTGATGCTACAGTTAATGCAAGTGGTATTTGAGCGAAGTTGGATGCAATCATGTGATATTTTATTCGCTCGACCAAGCGTAAAAGCGTATTTTAGATTTGAATGGCCAAAGGCAGATAATTTCTTAATATCCTCCACTCTTGTCGTATAGCCTCATAGTCGTATAGCAAGATCGAGAGAATTGTAGCTATATTAACGCAGACGTTCGTTTTTACAGTGATTTCCCGACGACTCCATAGAGGTTTCGCTAACGAAAAAATTCACCATTAGCCGTGTTGCGATTTCGTCTTTCGCTTGGCAGTTTGTGATTAAAGTGGTTCCCAGATTTTTAAAGGCATTTCCGATGAATTGGTAAAAATAGATATTTTTCAGAATCTTATAATAAGACAAAAAGGCTTTTTTTCTTTATCTTGATCCTCAGTCTTATTTTTACAGTTGTCGGTACATCGTTTAGTATTATTTGCATTTCGCCGTAATTATCAGCAAGAAGGACTATATAATCAGCGTATTCTACGGTACTATGCTTTGGGTACCTGTTGACAAACGATGATCATCCAGTTTATCGCATAGTTAAATATTGTAGGGGAAAGGATATAGCCTTGACGGGCACCAGTTCTTATTTCGAAAAATTCTTTTTCTGTCAATTCCTTATATACATCACTTATAAAATGACTTTATGAATAGAATAGATCATTTCTCCAGATTTCTCTGGAATACCGTCACATTTCATCATTCTCCAAAGCGCTGCTCTATCATTTAAATCGAAGGTAACTAAAAAATCAATGAAACACGGTGGATTGCAGATATTTGAAGTGATGTTCTAACATCCATCTTAGCGTGGATATCTGGTTAACAACCGCATCCTATAAATCCAGCTTGGTTAGAGCGCATTCTACTGTCTCTTACTACCATAAATATATTTAATTGGAAGGAAGCGAAAATTTTCACGAAAATGTTCTTTAGGTTGATTCTTCGATAATTGTTACAATATGTCGATATGTCCTTTCATATTTCTTAGAAACTGTCAGTGGAAATGTGAACAAAGTGTTTCAGTCATCTAGTATTATTTCTCTTTTCTATACCAGAAAAAATATATTTGTTGAAGGTGTGACATGAAGGACAATAGATAACGCTTGAAGAGTTCTGCCCAAAGGCCATCTTCTCCTGGATTTTATTGGCCTTATGCTTCTTGATGACAAAGATTATTTCCCCTTCTGTTGGCGGTTCACAATGGTAAATGTATGGGTTGACGTGCGAATCAGCTAAATCAGGACAACAGATGATGCCACGTGATTAAGTTTGGCCCTTAAAGAATTCTTTCACCTTATAAGGCCCTTTGGTTCTTAATAGAATTTAAAATTATTTACACCATTATCCCGTATCATTCTCTAACCGTTCCCAGAGTTATAGTTACTTTATGAAGAATGCTGAATAGCTTCCTACTATCGCCTAATCGAGCCGCCTTCCCATATCGCTTCAGTAGCGATTTCTGTCCCGTTATGCTGCTATCGTTCCAATTTTTCGAAGCCATAGTCCAATAGTCATGATCTTCTGACATTCATGCTTTTCACTCTTTCCAGACAGTTTGACAGTTCTTTCCGATATCCAACTATCGTATTTCCTAGTAATAAATCTTAATATGAGAATGACTGACTTTCGGAGACGTGCCTTTAGTTTTGACCCAGCATTCATACGCCGTTCCAATGAGATCATTGTTGTTCATTTCACTGTGATGCTTCAATAATTCGGTTTGAAATGCGCTTTCTTAGAATCTTTTAGTAGAATCTTTTAGAATCTTTGAAAGATCTTAAAAACTGTTTTTCGCCAGTTGTCAGTTTTATGCAAATCTTGGCTCAAACCACATGTTCTGATCCATGAAGATTGCCAGTTTTAAAGCCCCGATAGGAATAACTAAAGAGTTTCATTTGATATCTTCTCCGATGCTGAAAGCATTAATATTAAGCGAAAAAAGTTTCACGCTTTTTTGCGAAGAGAAAAGGTATTCTCCATTGGTACACCGGAGTCTATGCCATATTTACCAATTGCTATGTTCATTGTGGCAGCATCGTGATTCCACTCCTGCCCAATCCACTTCTCCGATTATGACCATATCATTTTTCGGTAAAGATGTTGTAAGAAGTTGAAATTCCGCATTGAACCTATTCTTATCGTGGTCATATTTGCACATAAGATTGGAGCAATGATGACCGAAATATTGCAGGATTTTCCTTTAAAGCGAGCATGTGGTCGTTTCGCGGCTTCCACTCAATTAGAGCGAGCCGGGCTTTTTCAAACATCATCACCACAATGATATAGCCAGTACTTCTGCTCGGAGCCATGATTAACAATTGCACGAGACTCAAAATAAGGAAGACGGACCTCTGATAAGTAGGCGATATCCACACAGTATTTAGAAAGAATGTGGACAGTGATTGCTTGACTTCATAAGCATTCTGTTTCAAGTAATTATGGTCAAAACCTCTCCGTTTGCAGAATACCAGCGGATAGTTCTCTCGTTTCTCGTTTCTCTTGGCAGGTTTCGAGTAATTTCCCTGGCCTGAGAGCTCATCGTACTCTAAAGTCTAGGGATCGTTTTTCTTCGCCCAGAATATATACTTATCGTATGTACCATTCGGCTGGAAATATGTCAAAAAGATCTGATTTTTTCACCGTAGAATCACTTGGGGATAGAGTTGCAAGTTCCCACAGCTTCATGAATTAATCGAAGTCAAGTCAATGAATAAATAAGAGTTAAGTGTGGTTTAATTGCTTGGTTATCAAATAGTGACCGGTAAAAGTCACCGAAATCGATATCTATATATACCGATAATTTCTTGTATTAAAAATGATTTAATTAACTCAAAACTATCAAATTATATAGTGAATAACTTTCATTTTTTGATTTTTTTATCGCGATTTTTAAAAAAAAAGTAGGCGACGGTCAACATTTAATATTTTCAATAAATAAAAATATATAAATAAAAATATACAACATACAAAAATGCAATTGCATTTTTCAGTGGTTATTGGCTTCATAATGCTGATGATTATAAAATTCCGAAAAGCAGTTAATTTTACGGTAATGAGGGGCATACAAATTCAGGTGTTGCATAAGACGACTCATATTAGGATTTGGATTTCAAGAATTTCTTGGCATTGAGTCCAATGAAAATTGGTTTAACTTACCAATTTATTATTTTGATTTAAAAGTACATAATTTTATAGCACTATTATTGATATATGAAATATTTAAGATTTATGGTTATTTATTGTATTGTGGTATTTAAAAAATTTGATTCAGAATTCTTTGTGGATGTAATATAAAATGACAAATATAAATTTAAGAAATTTAGACTAGAAAGAATGGTATAAAGGTTCGATTCAAAGGATTTACAGTGGATTTGAAAATGCAATAAGCAATTAAAATCTCACGGGTCTCGACGGAATGGATTAATTTTTCTTTTAACTCATTGGATTTATAATCTATCGAAGGATTTAAAAGGCCAAATTGCAGTATTATCCAACTTGTTCTAAGGTTTTCAACAGTTGGATAAGGATCACTTTTGAGGAGATCTATAATGCTATAATTAGATGAAAGCCACTCGCGAGAGCACTGAATATGAAAATTACAATTATCCCATCGTTTTTCAAAATTTTAATCGTTTTGCAAATCATTATTTTTTCCGACTTATGAAATTTAATTTATTAATAGAAATAAGAGGTTCACTGTTAACAATAAAAATACGTATTCGGAATTTCTACCTTTATGCAATAAAAGTTCATTCGTTTGCCTTCCACCTTTAATTTGCAGATTAATTTAGATAATTCAGCTATAATACGCATTAATTTCAAATTATTAAGAACTGCTTATATTTAGAACAATAATATTTAAATATTATGGGATCAATTCTCGGGATATTTATCAATTTCTATTAATATCAATAGAAGCGACTGTATGGCTGAAAACTGCGCTGCTTTGGTTAAAACTAAGCCATCTCATCTTCTAATTCTGTTTCCTGAGGAAACTCCTATTAAAATCCGGGTGCCTGAAACTCACATTTTTCATCAAACGACTCTTTGGCAGAGGGGTCTAATCCTAATAGCAGTGGAGACAGCCAATCCTAAATGCATTAAAGAAGAAGTTCACAACTTCGTAATTTATTATGATATATTATTATTCGTTTTTTATTAAATATCTTCTACGTTTGTTTTTTTCAATCGTACTTCTGCCTTTGCTTCGTCTTATTTAATTTCGATGATAAATGATAATTTTGAAAAATTTTTCACACTTACTTTTATTCATGAATTTCCTGACTCTTACAGTTCAATTATATTAAAAAGCCGCCGAA